TTTTGCCTTTGATTTTGAATGCAAGCCCATGATTAGAAAATGAAGGACTGAAACCGGAGCTCTGATTATTAAAAGGCCTTCAGGATTCATTACTGATAGCCAACTAAATGTGGTTTCCTACAAAGAGGACAAGGCAAAAGGCCTAAACTTGATATACAAAGAGAGGGATCTGAATAGCAGAGTGGTTTTGTCCCGGTACTAAGCAGGCCAGTACAAGAATACAGTTTGGGATCTGTGATTTTGGGAAGAAGCAAGAAATAGAAGGCTTGGTAAACGTGCTTGATCAAGAGATTCCCAGTGATAAACTGGATGTATTTCTAACCTCATGCAACCTCTGGCTACTAACCTTAATGCAAGAGTGACTGGGTGAAATTATATTGACTGTGTCAGTCAGGAGGCAACCCTGAACAGCTCTAACAATCTCATTGACTTTTAAATATTTTGTGATTCTTGGCAAATGTGATTCTTGCTATGAGTCTTGTGTAAGTCATGACAGGCAACTGAGTGCATAACTGCACTCCAGAGTTGTTCGTCTGTCAAAGTAGTGGCCAGCAGCTATTACCAGCCTGTACACTGCCTTTAAATATTTTATTTTGAATTTTTTGTTCTCTCACAAAAGCAAATGGAAGATGATGGGCTGGGGTAGAAACACAGAAACAGGCACAGGTCATTGAAGAAGTTGTTTGGCTGCCATTAAGATATGATTGACAGTTAAATACATTAAACTTTTACTTAATGCTAAGGATTCGGGATCTAGCATTTCAATGTTTTTCTAGTTTTAAAAAATATGTAAGAAATCCTGAGATTAAGGAAAAAATCTCTATATATAGATCTGGCATTTATAGCACAGATGCTTTGGCAAGATACTGTTGTTAGCAGTCCTTACTTATGTTCATTGCTATGACCTTTATATCTAAAATAAAAGGAGTCAAAACCTCTCACGATGAAGAGTGACTCTGACTCTGTGCCTCCAAAAATCCTTGTTCAGCAAAGAAGTGGAGTGTACTTAAATATGGGAGGAAAATTGTCCCCCCAAGCAGGAGTACTTCCACAGCAGAAATACAGCTGTAAACTTGCAGAAGCAGGGAATGATTAGGATTCACTGAAGCCAGAATCTCCTGATTTGTAAGACAAAACCTCCTCTGATAGAAAGCCAAAGCTGAAAATTGTAAAACTTAGGTTTCTGAAAATGACTAAAGAATCAGTTATTAGCTGGCTGCTCAGCTTGAGAGCAAAGTTATAAATGAATGTGATCGCCAAAGGATAGAGTGTTTGTAAGAAGATGGTTTTCAGAGACAGCTAAAGAAACTTTGATCAGAAAATCACTTTCTAGTTCTTGACCCTTATACTATATTCAGACATCTAAGAGGGTAACTTTTTTCAAATGTGTTAAGCAAAGCCATCTCTCAAGTTGGTGGGAATTCACTACTGATACCTTTTATGATAGCTTCTTGCTGAGTCTTGCTGCTTTTGAACTACATGAGAATCTCGGCTTTGTGGATTTTTTAAAGACAAAATTTTAGCTTGCATAATCACGGAGAAAAAAATGGAAAGGGAATACAAAAACCGAAGTCTCAGAACCTAGGCAGTAGCACAAAAATATTAATTTTATTTTGTTGAAACTCGGGATTTTAAGATAAACTGTATGATCTGTAAATGCAGATAAACTGCATGATCCTCCCTCACCCCAAGTTTAAGATCAAACATAACATTAGGAACTGAGAGCTAAACACTTTGACTAGATGATTGTGATGAACTTGGTGCCCTTTGTGCTACTACAAAACACAGTTTTTGTCTTCTTCTGAAGAATATGCATACTACATAGCTGTGAATAATATTGCTAATAATTTTTGGTGGTAGGAGTGCAGTACTGGAATCGGTAAAGTTCAGCACAAGAATGCCATTTCTCAAAGCCTGTTCATCAAACTCTGATAAGATTTGTTGTTTTAGGAAACATTAGGCAATCTAACTGCTTCAGATGTCAGCTGGATTTCCCAAGGAAAGTAAGGTTGAGGTGGTGGGTGTCTGTTTGTCTTTTAATTCCTCTTGTCTAACTTTTTAATCTATGGCCACCTGCAGCCAGCTTGATGTGGTTGACATTGAATTCAAATACTGTGAATTCCCTGTAAGATTCATCATGCAGATAGTTATTTAGAGAGCAGAGACACTGTTAAAGTCTCCACTGAGAAAAAAGATTGCATTGTGAACCCCCTGACTTTAGACACCAGAGAATTCACATAGGAAAAAGCAACCAGAAATTTCCTGCTATTGGAGCCAGTTTTGGTCAGAGTTTGTGCCTATCAGACACCAGATAAACCAGCCCTGAGGCACAAACCCCTAGGAAATCAGGCTTTCTTATTTTATGTGTTAGAGAACTACTCCATTAGTTTTGAGCAGCAAAGCAAAGATGAGAGTTGTGTTCTTGTTCTCCAACAAGAATGGAGCTGTTTCAGCTAATGTTTGCAAAGAGCTATGTGAGGGCAGGGTAGTTGCTAGTGAAACTGGAGCAGAGGGTGGGCAAAAACCCCAAGGGAAGGGCAGAGCCCAGGCTGCAGGGGAGAGTCAGGAGCACAGCTGAAGGACCTCACCAAAAAGCGATAGGAGAGCATGGAGGGGAAGAGGTGAGAAAAGGAGATACTGTCCTTAACAGCAGTGCCTGTTCACTTTCCTGTGCCTGTTCATTCAGCAGATAGTTTATATTTAATCACTGGATAATTAATATTTGCTCACTGGATGACTCGGGTATTTTTCTGTAGATGGCACCGAGTGTTACGAAGGCTTTCTCTGCGGTGGTGCCTAGGCGAGCCATGAGAATGCGTTTTATCGCTTTGCCGCCCGTTTCTCCCTGCTTGTACCAGGCCATCCACACTCAAACGCGTCCACACAAGCAAGAAACACTCAAATACAAAAAAATGGTGTTTATGCTTGATCACAGTGGATTTCAGGCTTGTGTCCTTACAGTAATCATCAGGTTCTCAATGACACAGAAGCGGGCTGATATAATAGGGGACGGATGAGGTCTTATTCACTATTTACCCAGCTTTTAGACTTGGGCATGTTCCTCAAAGCAAATACAGCATGAGGGTTTGCATTTCTGGTGCTGTGGTCAGATGCTACTCAGAAGTAAAAGGCGGAAGTTAAAAAATAACTTGAGCGAACCTACGTACTGCCTAAAAGCAGAGCACGGGGTCAGAGCCGAGCCCGCGCTTTGCATTTTGTTTTTGTTTGGGGGCAGATGCCGGCAGCGCAGGTAGGAAAGCCGCCCGAGGGGCGGCGGGCGCAGAGCGGGCCGCGAGGCGCTCCAAGGCCTCGTTGGCCCAGGCCCGCGGCCCGGCAGCCAG